CGTCTGAGACGTCCGACTGCTCGCCATCTGCTCTTGCCCATGTTGTGGACACGGAGTGTGAAGGGGTTGAGTGGCGGCTTCCAAGGGAATGAAGAGTGCCCCCATGTCGGCAGGGGAACAGCAGGCAGTTGGCCGCCATCTGCTTTCACTTCCATGACGATGTGGGCGTTGGCGCCACCGAAGCCAAAGGAGCTGACGCCGCCTATGAAGGTAGAGCTTTGATCATCCGACGGGACCAGGGGCGTGGCTTCACAGGGGTAGATGGCGTGGAAATCCTCATCCATGTCAATGTGGGGGTTTAGCACCCTCAGGTGCAGGTTGGGCGTCGACACACCGTGGTGTAGCGTCAGCAGCAGCTTGATGAACCCCGATATGCCGGATGAACCTTCCAGATGGCCGATGTTGGTCTTGAGTGCGCCCATGACGAGTGGTCTGTGTGAGGTCCTGCCCCTGCCCAGCACCGCCCGGATGGCCCCCACCTCAATCGGATCACCGAGACTCGTTCCCGTACCGTGCGTCTCGATGTAGCCGAGCGCATCATACGATATGCCTGAATAAAGCCAGCGACAACACACAGCCAGCAGAAGGGAAAGAGGTGTGATCGACCAGCATGGCATGCCTCATTCATTCATCTCTCTGTCTTCTGTCTGACTGCCTGACTGACTGACAGACTGACTGACTGACAGACTGACTGACTGACCTGCATCCTCGATGGCCTCAGCGAGAACTTGCTCCTGCGCAGGGCCGCTTGGAGCAGTGAGGCTAGCAGCGCGGCCACCATGGTTCACTGCTGAGCCGCGAATCCGCGCCAGTGGCTGTGCGTCGGTTACTCCTTCACTGTCGCTCTGTGCTGCCGCCTTGAGTACGATGGCAGCGCACCCTTCACCTCTCACATATCCATCAGCCGTGGCGTCGAAGGTCTTGCACCTCGCGTCCCTCGCCATCATGCCGGCACGGCAGAAGGCGGCCGTCACCTTGGGCGACATCATGAGGTTGACGCCCGAGGCCACTGCAGCCGAGCAGATGCCCTTCTGCAGGTACTTGACGGCGACGTCGACGGCCACGAGGGAGGACGAGCAGGCCGTGTCGAGTGTGAGGCTGGGGCCCTGGATGCCGAGCAAGTAGGACGATCGGTTGGCGATGATGGATGGCGCATTGGAGGTGGCCGAGTAGCTGCTGACGGAAGCAGCTGTTGCGTCCATGATGTAGGACCACTCGTTGCAGCAGCACCCCACAAAGACACCGATGCGCTGCCTCACCAGAGCTGCCCGCTCGAAGCCCGCCTCGTGCAGCGCGCTGTAGCTGACCTCCAGCAGGAGACGCTGCTGTGGGTCCATGGTCCTCGCCTCGCTCTCGGCGATCTTAAAGAAGGACGAGTCGAAGAGCTCTGCGTCCCGAATGAAGCCTCCCTCCTTGATATGCATCTTGGTCTCGCCCCTCGCCTCGGGATTGGGGTCGTACCACTCGTCCGCATCCCACCGCGTCGGCGGCACCTCCACAATCGCATCATGACCTCCCACCACCATGCGCCACATGTCGCCAAGGCTCTCCACGTCACCCGGCAGTCGACACGCAGCGCCCATCACAAGCACCGATCCAGCTGATGCATCCGGTGCATCGGAGACCCTCTGCAGGGTCCTCGATGACGACAGAAATGCCGACGAGTTGGTCATGAGTTCCACCAGATGGTCGCAGATGGCGCTGAGGGTGGGGTGGTTGAAGATGAGCGTCGTTTCCAGGTTGGGCAGGTTCAGACGGCTTGCAACCAGATCAGTGAACTCCACGGCGCCGATCGAGTCCACGCCCAGCTCAAGCAAGGAGGCGTCCATCTCAGGCACACGACCGTCGCCGAGAACGGCCTCAGCGCTTTCAATCAGCACTCTCAGCACCTCCTCGCGATCGACGGCTGTCGGGGGCTGCTGCTGCTGGGGTGGGGAGTCTGGGGGCCGCGGGGACTTGACCTCTGCGATGGAAGGGGTCGGCAGTCGCGTGGACGTGTCCACAGGAGCAGGTGGGCCCACGACCGCCCGAGGCTCCTTGACGCGAGATGCTTGTGCCTCGGATGACGTGAGGCGTGCCACCTCGCTCATGTTGACTGTAAGCAGGACGCCTGCCTGCTCGCCGCTCTCGATCAGGCTCTTGGTCTTCTGTCGCTGTATCTTGCCACTGGTGGTCTTGAGGATGCTCCTGGGCTTGAGCAGAGACACACGGTGGACAGGGATGCCCAGTTTGGACGTGACGCTGCCGCCGATCTGCTGTGCGAGTGCCTTGAGCACCTCCTCCTCACAGACCCGGCGATCTTGGCCCAGACCCAGACGCCGCCCCAGCCATCCCAAAGAGGTGCGCTGCGGCCTGGAGGGGTCGGCCATGCAGCTGTCGACACGCTCGGCGAGCTTCTCGGGCTTGATCTCGACGGCAACGCCGATCGTTTCGTTGCCGTCGGCCTCCATGGCGAATGCGGCTGTGGAGCCTGGTCGGACCACATCGATGTGTGACTCGATCTCCTCCTCCACATCCTGCAACCAGCGACACGACACACAGAAGGCAAGGCAACACAGCACAGCACACACACGTGACACACAGGTCAGTCAGTCAGTCAGTCATGTGAAGGATGGTCGTGGGTAGCTGGCTAGGTAGGTATGCACCTGTGGGTAGTAGTTGCGTCCCCTGATGACGATCATGTCTTTGATTCTGCCGGCGATGAAGAGCTCCCCCTGATACATGAAGCCCCTGTCGCCGGTCTTCATGAAGGAGAGGCCCTCGGTCTCCTCGTCAAGCTCCGGTGAGCCGTCACCATCCCTCCTCGGCGCCAGCTGCGCATGGAAGATCTCTTGGGTGACCGCCTGCTGCTCGAAGTATCCCATGGCGGTGCTGCCAGACTTGACCCACACCTCGCCCACACGGCAGTCGGGCAAGGGACGTCTCGTCTCGGGATCTACTATCACAACTGATAGACACAACACAACACACGACACGACCCAGCCACACAGACAGAAGGAAAGAAGCGATGAGAGCCAGTCCGTGGTGTCTGTCTGTCCCTCCCCCTGTCTGTCTGTCTCTCTGTCTCTCTGTGTCTGTGGTGGTGGTGTGGGTAGATACCAGCGACTCCTGCGTATGGGACGCCGCAGCCGACGAGCCGCCTGAAGCCGTCTGACTCGTCCTGGCTGCTCTTGCCATCCTCCCGCAACCCCCGCCACTGGTCGCGAACCTCAATGATGCCCTGATTGACACACACATCCAGTACGCGTAATCATCATTATGAGCGGTGAGTCAAGCGATCACGCCCCCCGCCCCCCCCTGTCTGCCTACCGATTCTGTCATTCTGTCGATGTTGACTTCCAGGACCAGCGGCAGGGTCGTCGAGGTCTTGCGGCCCGTCACAAACAGAGTGTTCTCAGCGAGGCCGTACGCCGGCAGAAAAGCACTGCGGCGGAGACCTCGAGGCTCAAATTTCTGCCGTATGAATGAATGACACACACACGCAGTGAGATGAATGAACCAACAGTGCGACGCGATGGGACGGTGAGTGGCTGACTTACCTTGATGAATCGTTCGACAGTGGTGTATCTGATGGGCTCAGCGCCACAAAGGAAGCCCACGACCTTGCTGAGGTCGAGCTTCCGCCACACGTCGTCAGGCATTTTCCGCGCAACGAGCTCGAAGCCGAAATTCGGCGACGCGCAGCCGACGGCCTCGTACTTGGTCATGCACTCGAGCCACAGGTGTGGCTTGCGGATGAAGTCCAGGGGCGACATGGCGTAGATCGTCTGCCCGAAGAACAGAGGCGCCAACAGAAACCCTATCAGACCTGCAAGGCAACGCAACGCAACGCAACACAACACAACACACACGCACAGACACACATTTGGGCCAGTCGCATCGCATCGCGTAAGTTCCCCGTCCCTCCCTCCAGTCAGTCAGTCATTGTCCATCTGTGTATCCATCCGTACGTACCCATGTCGTGGTAGACGGGCAGCCAGGAGAACATCCTCATTTCGTGGCCGAGTGCCCTCCATGAGATGGCCTCGCGGGCCTTGAAGAACTCGTGAAACTGATGGTAGGGGTAGTCGGTTATCGTCATGCTGCACGAGGGGTCCTCGCCCCTCAAGTCGAAGCCGAACACCGAGGCGCACAGATGGAAGTTGTGCACCAGGTTGCCGTGGGACACCATCACGCCCTTGGGATGACTCGTCGACCCGCTCGTGAACTGCAGGAATGCCAGGTCATTCGACCGCAGTGAGGGGGGGCTGAACGACGAAGACGCGGTTGCCGCGTCGGTCGACCGCCGACCGATGGTGTCAGTGGTGGTCCATCTGATGGACTTCCATGTGGGATCTGATGCCGCCGCTGCCGTCCAGCTGAGCGCCTGGACGATGCGGTGATACATGCTGTTGGTGAGGGTGGCCTTGGCCTCGGTGGTGGCGGCAATCTTGCTCAGCCGGGGGATGTCGGTGGCCGCCTTGTTGGGGTCCGGCGGGTAGACGGGGACGGCCACGATGCCCGCATAGAGGCAGCCGATGAAGGCCACGGGGAAGTCCACACCCGGCGGGTAACACAGCACCGCCCGGTCCCCAACCGCCAGGCCAATTGAGTGCGTCAGATGATGCGCGATGACCTTGGCCCGCTCGTGCAGCTCGCCAAAGGTCAGCTTGCTGGCCACCTTGCCGTCACTGCCGAGCCAGTTGAGTGCGGGTTTGTCTGGCCGCTCCTCGGCCAGCTCGTCCAAGCAGGCGTAGATGGCATGCTGGCCTCTCCGCCGCTTGCAGTAGAACCGGAACAGATCGCTGGCCGACGCGGGCGCCACTCCCAAATCATCTTCCCCATCCCACGGCGACTCACACGACTCGCTCCGCCGCCTGCCCGGGCGGTGAGCCGTCGACTGGCTGTGCTGCGGATCCATAGATAACGAGATGACCGATTGACTGACTCACCACGCCGAGGACTGCACGATGAGCTGATCTCACACTCCTCCCTCCTCCCTTCCCTTAATTATGCTGCGCCGCACACCATCTGCACAGCCGGAGAGATCCGCTATCGTCAGTCAGTCGGCGACCTGCAAGTCTGACAGAGATGCAGCACCGCAACACAGCCGCCTGGAGATTCACTTCTCCCGCTCGTCGATCTGACGCTAACGAAGTATCAAGCTCGCAATTTCTGCGAGCTTAGACTTTCGATGTTCACTCTCTCTTCCAGGCTTTCCAATGTTCACTCTCTACTTCCTCTAACACATACATCTGGTCAAATTGGATGCATCTGCGTCCTTCTCCCGTTGGATGCCCTTGGCGTAGGTTCGTCAACGTGACTGGCTCATTGGAGGTCACGGCGTCTGGAGCCCTTTGTCAGCGCCCAATTATCAGGTACAGCAGGGCGGCACATCACACCAAGTGTGATAGCAACTGACCATATGTTGTGTGTGACTCTGCTGTGCGCAGGACTCGAGCACCATGTCGGCCTCTTCATCAGCCGGGCAGGAGCCACAGCCACCACAGCAGCAGGAGATGAAGATAGAGAAGGTGGAGGCCCGCTTCCCGCCCAACACCAACAGTGCGACCAAGCGGCTCGTCCAGGGCATCATGCGCCGCACAATCACACCTGACGGCGTCCGGCAGCTCGTCCGCAAGGGGGCCAACCCTGCCGTCTGCATCGACCTCATCGACCTGGATGATCATGAGGAGTATCGGCTGCGTGTGTGTCTGCTGTCATTGGCCATCGACGACTGGAGCACTCCCACGGCACTCGAGGCCTTCATAGCTGTGGACCACAGCGGTGCACGGCTGGCGCTGCCGCTGTGGCCATCGCGTGGGACGCAAGCGGCCATCCTGTCGGCTCTCATCCAGGAGGGCGTCGGGCTCAATGGGCCACCCAAGCCATCATCACCCACGCACGTCGAGACCACCAGGATCACCATTGATGCATCAGCACGTCCTGGACGGATCACCAACGCTATGGCTCCCATCGAGGTGGCGGTGTGGGCAGGCAATGTGACGGCGGTCAAGACCCTCGTGGCCAACGGGGCGGCTCTGCAGCAAGGGCGGCCGCTGGCCTCCCTGCGAGATGGAGTGCGTTCCAGCGAGCAGTACGAGGCGGCCCTGATGGCCATCTACACCTACCTCGTCAAGCTCGACCCCTCCCTCTCCACCGAGGCGACGGCCAGTGACTGGAATGTCATCCATTCGGCAGCCAGTGCCGGTCCCATCTACTCGGAGGCCTTCATCCGCAGCTACCTGCAGCTGATGATGGACAACGGCGCCAGCATCACGGCCGCACAGCAGCCGCCGATGTTTCAGCCCCTGCATCGAGCAGCGTCCTCTTCGTCCCATCACGTCATCGAGTGGCTATGTCAACACCTCAGCCCCGCAGACATCAACACAGCCAGAGGGGGAGGAGTCCACCGGACGGCTTTGGGCATCGCTGCCCGCAGGGTCGCCCTCTGGCAGAGTCGACCCCCGTCCGAGCAGCGTGATGAGATGGTCAGCGGGATGCAGCGGGCCATCCGCACGCTGCTGACATCAGGAGCAGCCATCGACATGGTGCAGACGCCACAGCAGCTGCCACCCAACGCCGGGCAGATCTACCGAGCGGCGCACGGTGTGGTGTTGGCCGAGTACCTCACCGTGCTCAACGACGAGCTGCCGCAGGCCGTCATGGACGGCGTCAACGGCGCCCTCAGCCCCCAGCGTGACGCAGCCAACATGCTGACGCGGCTGCTGCCCCTCGCCCGCCCCTCCCCACCCGCCAACCCCACTGAGCCATCCACTGCTGCTGCAGCACATGCCCCTGCTGCCCCCTCCCCCTTCGCCATCACGGATGCGACGGCCCAGGTGGCCTGGAAGATCGGCGCCTTTTTGCACGAGCCAGAGGCCGTCGACACACGGCGGGGGACATAGAGTGAAAGGACATATTGTAAAAATCGATCGAATGAAGGCGATTTTTTCAAATTTTCAGCCATCATGTGGGAAGAACTGATCGAAATCGAAGCCAAAATCCAGCGGACTTTTTGAATCACGCCTTAAAAGCTGATCGAAATCGGGCCTGGCCGAGGGCATGCGAAGTTTTTTTTTCAGTGCAACGCTGCATTCACGTTGTTAGGTGGCGGAGCTTGTGATGTTCTTGCCACTGTGCTTCGAACATGAATGATATCCATCGCCAGATGCGAGCTGCAGAGACTGAAGCTCGCAGGTGGCAGCTTCATAGAAGTGTAGATCTGTCGCCCCCCTTGTTTGATTCTTCGCTCCCACGCCATGGGCAAACAACAGAAAGGAAAGGGAGCGAAGAGGCGCGCTGCCAGCCCACCTGCCAATGATGACGAGGAGAAGGAGGAGAAGAAGCACAAGATGGCATCGCAGAAGGATGAGGATGTGCCGATGACGGCACGCGAGGAACATCAAAAACTCAAGAAGTGGACGTGGAGTCCAGAGATCTACGACTACGAACGGCGGAGGATGACCCCCGCGTTTGCGCAGAGGCAGGGGCCATTCACGTGGAGGGGGGGGGGGAGTGGATTGACTGCGCCTGCGGCCAGCCACTGTTGCAAGACGGGTCTGAAAGGCGGCATCGGGCAGCTCAACGATAGGCGTTCGGCCCACCAGAGGTCCGCGAGTTGAATGCCCACAAGACATGGCGGCTGAAGCAGAGAAGGTATGCGGCCACTGAGCAGCACGTGGGTTGGGTGTCTGCACGTTCTTTCTCTCTGTGTATTACCCTTCTCAGGCTCGACAGGAGCGTCAGCAGAGGCGGGCCGGGGGCGAGGACGTGCCATCCCCCAGCCGCGCGGACGAGAGGGCGAGGATCGAAGAGGAGATCCGCTCCGAGCGTCCCCCACCCAAGCCCGCACCAGCTGCCTGTCAGCTCATCTCTGGTTTCTTCAGCAAAGGCAATAGCGGTACGCACGGACAAACCAACATGGCACAGACACCAACAGTGACTAATGTGTTTGGTTCTGCTGGTGTATCTGTTGGTATGCAGTTAAGTCAAAGGGTAGACGTCACAGCCACCGTCCTCTTCTTCACGGGTCTGCGGTGCATGTCGTACATGACGCGAAAGGTGCGTGCATGTGTGCATTGCTGTGTTGCTGATTTGTGTGCGAAGGGATGTGTGCGTGTGTGTGTGTTTGTGTGTGTGTCTGTGTGTGATGCAGGACTTCAGCCCAGGCCTGTGCGTGGTGCTGTGTGGCGTGGCGTTCAGCATCCTGACGCGTGTGCAGGGCCTGCACGAGATCACCCTCGTCAACACCGTCATGTGTCTGGTGTCCAACATGTTCATCATCGTCCGCGATGACATCACCAACCCTGACCACGCCACCACGATGGGCCTGGAGTTGCAGTTCGGATACCTGCGGCCGATCATGAACAGCAAGGGTTTAGGGTTAAGGGTTCATGTCCATCTACTTCCCCTGTTCATTCGCGACGACTTGCTTACAGGTGAGAATACGACGCACATCCACAGAGACAGATAGACAGACAGACAGACAGACAGGCTGATACCCCCACACGCATGTGCATCCATCCATCCATCCATCCATCCATTTGTCGTGTCTGTGGCTATGTGTGTGCACAGGGAAGACGAAGTCGTATTTCGGTAACGAGAAGCTCTGTAGTTCAGAAAATGGTCAGCTGCAACACAGGGCACATGTGCAACACAGACACATGCATTGTGCACAGAGTCGCCTCCACTCATGTGTGTGTGTGGTTCTTTTGTTAGTTGCGTGAGGTTGGTGAGGAGCGGGCGACGCCCCTTGTGCTGGCCACCTTCTCCAGGAAGTGGAAGAAGAACAGGGGAGGCGGGTGTGCCGGAAAATGGGAGCAGCTGCATCCGATGAAGGTGCCATCCGAGAACGAGATTCTGGCTCAGGTCAAGGCCAACGACAACACACCCGTCGGCAGCCAGGTCACCGAGTATCGTGCCCTTGTCACACTGCCACCCACCATCCATCACAACACGACACCACACGCGACACCCACACATTCTTGCATTCATCCATCGTCGATGTTTGCCTTGTCTGTTTCGTTGACGTGCAGGGTGGAGCTGACTCGGCTGCAGCACCGGTCCGTCTACGAGCCAGTGACGACAGGCGAGTCCAGCAGCTGGTGTTGTATGTGCCGTGCGCCGACTTTGCGATTGTCGACTCAGTCGGCTGGGAGGGCTTTGACTCGGACGCGGCCACATTGGTAGGGCATGAACACGGACCAGACACGTCAAGCGTTAATGTCTGCTTCCTTGCCGTTCTGGATGTGTCTACGGCCTCAGGATGATTGACTAGCTCCGTCCTTCCACTTTGCAGGACTAGATGGGAGACTGGATGGGGTCCGTATGAGTGGCTGTGTGGCTGACTGTGTGGTGGGCCGTCTGTCTGTCTGTCTGTCTCTGGATGGATGGATGGATGCATAGCCGCAGACACGACATATGAATGGATGGATGGATGGACGTGTGTGTGGGGGTATCTGTCTGTCTGTCTGTGTGTCTGTGTGTCTGTGACTTGTTGATAGTCATAGTTGATAGCAGCTGGGAGGGAAGACTCACAATCGCATATGATTCACCGCACTGCTTCAAGAACACATGTCTCACGTCCCCCCAATCCATAGAACTACCCAGACAGGCTACATCGGCACTCACGAGGCTATCTACAATCATACTTGAAAAGTGGATCGAAATCGAAAGGCTTCGGCAGGGATGGAGGATGATAGTAAGAGATCGATCGAATCGAAAGGCTCACAGACATATTATATGATACCTCTTTCGATTCCTCTCTATGTCCCCCGCCGTGTCGACACCATCACCCTCGGGCAGCCCGTGTTGGCCAACCGCATCAAGAGGGCCATGCAGCACTTCGTCAAGTGCGCAGCCACCAAGACGGCCGGCAATCAGGAGGTCATCGGCCCCATGGCCAATGTGGGCGGCCGGGTGGTGCGGGTGCCCCTCCAGTGCTTCGCCATCAGAGAGGGGACGAGTGTGCGCCGGTTGGGTCTGCGTGAGGTGGTGCACAGGGCTCGGCTGGACGAGGCGGCCCGGTATGGGCTGACTGGTGTGGTCAAGGGCTTCAAGAGCCACCTAGGGAATGACGACTGTCAGCTCGGTTGGGGTCAGTTGGGGTGGGTCAATGAGATCGGCCTATTCCAGCCGCTGGGCATCAACTAGCCGGCCGAGGGCACCATCATGGTGTAGCAGACAGGGAGAGTGAGAGAAAGAGAGGGGAGGGATGGGATGGGATGCATAGGCAGGTGATGCCTATCGCTGTTTACAGTAGTGCTGCCATGCGTAGGTAGAGTGAGTGTGACGGTCTCAGAGAGGCCAGGCCGTGTGTGCATGTCTACTATGTGATTAGTCAGTATGTGTGTTCAGTCAGTCAGTCAGTCAGCCGATGCCATGCGGCGCACTCACTGTCATGGCATGTGACTGTAGTTTAGTAGCTCCCCACCCGCTCGTGCGTGTTTCTGACACGAGTGCTGTGTGGTGTGACATGTCTCTGCGATTGACGTCTCTTGCCCGGCTGCTACACAGCCAAGCTCACTCTTATCCCAACCCTCACCGTGTCAGCCACAGCTACAGCCAAGAAGAAAGCTTGGTTGCAGAATCGTTCAATCCACTCATAAATGCACCACTACGTCTTCACTCCCTCATTTGCAGTGACACCAATCCAAGCCGAAAACATATGCACATATACCATAGCGTTCATCTCAGACAGACCTGTCAAGCTCACGACTAGCTGACTACGCAGCACTTCTCCATCTCTATGAGCTCGAATGACCGCAGCAACCGCCGGAGCGAAGGCATCGTCACGGGAAAGCACTCGTCCATCCGTGCCTCATAATCAGCAGCGGAACGTGCAGGCGACTCGGTCGTGATCAGGTGCATGCTGCCACCCGAGATCAACAGCCAAGCGGCGACAGTGTCGCCTGGTCGAAAGCCGCTCACAACCACAAGATGCAGGGCAGTTGGATTTGCAGCATTTAGATCCCCGCCGTCTTCCAAACAGTCGACCGCGATGCCCAGCTGCTCCGGGATGTCGTCTGTGATCAGCGACCGATACCGCTCACCCGTCTCGTCGATCTGTGCATTAAAAATGACCGGGTGCTGATGGGTCCAGTCGAAACAGATGTTGTGCAGCAGATACGACGAGAAAGTGCGGTACAACCCTCCACCCGCGCGGATGACCGGATCTCCTCTCTTGTAGCCCTCAGCGTAGGGGTGGCCGCCCGGCAGCTCACCCAAAGGCACCACGTCAAAAGTGTGGTAGTGGGTGCCGATCCAGTAGTCGCCGCCATCGGCCTGGTCCACAGGCTCCACAGCCAGGGAATCTCCTCGGAATGTCAGTTGGTGGCCGATCGCCCTGAGGATGGCCATTGCAAATGGCAATCTGCGGAAGCCCCACACGCTGTTGGGCACCGAGAGCACCAGCGGCAGGTCGGTGGCGGCATTGGCCATCCCATGGATGGCCGCTAGTCTGATGAACTGCCCGATAAACCGCCACCCATCAATGCCCTGCCCAAAGAAGTAGACGGTCTTGAAGGCCCCCTCCAGGTCACTGACGGTCAAAAATAAGGCATCCTGCAGGCCCCGACGGCTCAACGTCTCCTCTATATGCTGCTGGACGAGCCTCAGCATCGTGTCCACATCATCAGGGGAGCCATCGGTGATCTGTGAGTGGAGAGTGTGGCGCTGCCGGCTGTCTGTCGACATGGCCATGGCAGCGGCCTTCTTGATTGTGAGCGTGAGGAGGGATGGGAGGGGAGGAGGGCCCGGGGGCTCGCGATTGACATGCTGAGCGGGATGAGGCCGGGACGCCATCAGACTCCCAACTGAGGGCCTGCGGGCACCACAGACGAAAAGAAGCCGGTAATTGGTCTATTTTCCTCTTCTTCTCTTGGTGTTTCTCCCCACCTTCGATGGATCAGTGCTCTGAAGCTTCAGAGAGAAGAAATACGCCTGCACAATGCCATCCGAGCCATAAATGCATGTGGAGACGAAAACAAGTCACAAACGCATCTGTGCTGGTATTCTTGCTCACCAAATGTCGTTCAATCCCCCTTTTCCTTCTCCCTTTCGCCGGCCTTTCGCCTTTCCTTTCTCGAAGCTCGCAGCTAAGCTCGCAGACGGGAAGGGGAAGAAAAGGAAAAAAGGACCCGAGCGGCGTCCACGCACTCAGTATGAACGGCTACCTGCGGTCTTTTCGCATCTGCGCTGGTAACCGTCCACGGAAAGATCTGCAGTGACTGCGTTATCTGCAGCCACGTGTGCGTGCGTGTGTGTGTGTGTGTGTGCATCAGCTGCAGCATGATCCCGCTGCTGCATGAACCTGCGCGACGGGGCCGCAGTAAGGGCAGCAGAAGCCGGCTCCGAGTCAGCGGGCGGGAACATAGGGAGAGGGAGACAGTCAGTCGTGGCCGCATGAGGACGGCGGCGCTAGAGAAATGGGCCATGACAGACTGATGCTGTGCTGATGTGTTTCTCAAAGTGAGGGATTCATTTGGAGGGTTGCATAAGGGCCGACCGGGGCAGTCTGTCTGTGTGGTTGTATGCTGCTCGGGGCTCCTAAGTGCTGTGCAGTCGGTTTTGTGTTGCGTGAGGGGCAGTAGCTCAATCTAGTCTCATTCTAGTCTCCATTTAGTCTCATATTTCATAGATACATACCTGTCAGCCGTTTGAGTCCCTTGCCTTGCCTGTCTTGCCTGAACAAGGCGTTGCTGGTCTTTATCCCTTCCCTGTCCCTTCCTTCTTTGCTGTGTGAGTGTGCGTGGGTGTGTGTTGGGCTGACCCCTTTTCGTGTACGCACAGTACGTGATGGACATGTGTGTGCACATGGCCTTCATGGTGTGGGCTCGTCTTTGTCTTTAACGAGCGTCCCGTCGCAGTGTGTCTATTGTGGACGACGATTTCTGCTGGCCAATTGCTGCTGGCCGTGCTTGAGGCTGTTCATGCCTGCCTGCCTGCCTGCCTGCCGTGTAGCGATTGGTGTGTGTGTTGGCTGGTCCCTCCCTCCCTGTTTCTCGCCAATCAATCGCGGCGATCTGAGGGAGGGAGGGAGGGAGGTACAATCAAGTAGCTACGGACAGGCTGTGCCTGTTGATGGACGATGGTCTGCTGTGACGCACATCGAGTTTCGTCTGTCATTGATTCACGTGTCCCCCACGACCGTCACAAAACCCAACCCGAGTGCACACGCCCGACACTTAGGGAAGCAAGCAGTCCCCGTACCTACCCCCTACGACATGAAAGCGGCCAAGCGCACAACCCACTTGCCCCAGCTCTCGTCCCCCCTGCCACCCATTCTGTCCTTTTCGATGGCCACCGAAGACGTCAGCTGCTGGCGGGTGTGTAGCTCCTGGGCAGCCGTGAAGCGCGGCAGGTGCATCACATCGCGCTCGTCGAGAGGCCCATGCGCCCATGGGACGCGCACCGGGGGAAGGGTGTGTGGGGGAGGATAGGTGGTGGCGTATGTCAGCACGGCCCGGCTGGCCGTGGGGATCTTGCGACGAAACACACCACTCCCACCTTGCTGCAGGCAGACACAGAAAGATATCAATAAATGAACAGCGGGGCTGTCAATGCATTCATTCTTTACCGGCTGCTCTTTCACATTCGCCCGCGCCTTCGTGTCCTTCGTCTCGCCCTTCCTTGGCCCGCAGAAGAAGCCCCAGAACGAGCTGGGCTGCTTGGTCCCTTTGGCTTTCATGCTCCTCTCTGTCTGCAGCTTCTTCGCATGCACCTCTTCCATAGCCGCCTGGCCCTCCTTCATCGCCCTGTCGGGTTTCTTCGTTTCTCTCGTATCTTCAGTGTTCGCTCCCCGCCTGATGTCCTCCTTCTCGTCCTTCCTGGGTGCAGAGAAGAATCCCCAGAGTGAGCCGGGCCGGTCGGGCGGGTTGGTCCCTTTGGCTCTGCCTCGCTGGCGTATGAGCAGCGGCTCGCGGTACGGAAACCCTGAGCCGACATCCTCGTGGGTGGCACCCTTGATCTCAGTGCATGCCCTCCTGAGGCCCTCAGTGGCAACGGTGGTCACCCTGATGTCGTCAAATGCACCGCCTTTGCGGGGACAGGCGACAGCGGCTCCAGCTGCTGAAGACGTCTGCGGGTGCCGTGTCTCTCGGTGCGCCATGGTTTTCTTGTGCTCCGCCATCGAGAGTGGCGCTATGGTGCGGTGCTGGTAGTCCCTCAGGCTTTGGCTGTCCAGCTGCGCGAGGTGCGGGCAGTCCTCTTGGAGGATCTCGTCCATCAGCTCATCCCCCAACACCTTGATTCGAAGACAAAGGAGAGAGAGCAACACGATCATGCGGGGACGCTCGCCTCGTTCCTGTGCCACCCATGCATTGTTCATTCCTGTGCCTCTCACCATTCGTGGCGGGAGGTATGTGCCCAGATTCTCATTAGCGACGCCAGAACCGGGATGACCATCGGCTGCTCGAGCACTCGTCACTTTGATGTCGTCAAATGCACCGCCTTGGCCACACACAGCGTCGAACACTTTCCCAGTGCTGCACCAAACGCCACACACATGCGATCAATGCACATATACTTCTCTGGCCCCATTGATTTGCTGTGTGGTCATTAGCTTACTGTCCGCTGCCGACTTCCTCGCCCATCTGGTAGATGTCATTGATATCGGCGGCCGACTGGATCAATGAATGCTCACTGCGATGCGGCTGAGGCACCAGCCCCCAAACCTGACCCCCATTGGCGGTCGGAGAGTCGCCTACACTGCCTGGTGAGGGGTAGGGCTGGGGAGGGGGGCAGCTACACATGTCAGCGGGGTCGGTGACGTCCGTGCCCTCACGGTCCCCCTCAGCGATGGTCTCGAGACCTCCGGCGCCGAAGCCCTTCTGCTCCCGCAGCCGATAGCCCCTCTGCCGCCCATCAGTCAGTGTCCCGGATGAGGGCGATGGCCTCAACCATTCCTGAGCCGTCTTGTCCGAGCGATTACAGGGCTGCGAAGCTCGGTCTGCATTGTTCTCTGGCTGCTGGTGTGCACTGACGACGCTGCCGTCACCAGCAGTCGGACTCCCCAAACCACACGCTAGAGACAGCGAGACAAAGAAATAGGAGAGAGACACACACAAAGAGAGGCGAAGCTGACTGACTTCAGCGGTCACTCTGTCTGTGTCTGTGTTGGGGCGTTGTGGGAGCCTACCCTGCTGTTGTTGGATGTGCGGTGTGCTGCTGAAGTTGGCCACATTGGGCGGGCCAGTCAGGTTGCGCTCTGCACACAACATAATATGTAACACATCACATGACAGATACAGAATCATCTCTGGTGGTCTGGTGTGATGGGGTGGGGTGGCGTACCTGACATACCAGCAGTCCCGCCAGCCAGGTGGGTGGGGCTCAGCGGCTGGCTCCCATCCGCCGCCCTCTCCCCTCCCACAACGTCCTCACACCCACGGAAATCCCCCCATCCGTCGTCCTCATCACTAGCTTCGACTACCACCTCGTCGGGCCCGGCGTCATGCAAATCGTTGTGTGGGCTGGCCTTGGGAGGATGGGAGGGCTGGGGAGGGTGGCAGCTACACAGCCGAGCGGGGTCGGTGACGTCCGTGCCCTCACGGCCCCCCTCAGCGATGGTCTCGAGACCTCCGGCGCCGAAGCCCTTCTGCTCCCGCAGCCGATAGCCCCTCTGCCGCCCATCTGTCAGTGTCCCGGGTGAGGGCGATGACGCCAGCGATTCCTGAGCCGTCTTGTTGGAGCGATTAGAGCGCTTCAAAGCTCGGTCTGCATTGTGGTCCGGCTGCTGGTGTGCACTGACGACGCCGTCACCAACAGTCGGACTCCCCAAAACCACAACATATGGGTTGTCCACGGGGGAGCTCTCGGGGGGCGACATGGTTGGCCCAAACCACGGGTGATCCAACGCCTCTTGAGCTGACACAACACACACATCACACATGCATGACAGACACCGGAAATGTCTCGCAAGGTACCCAGGTGGGAGAGCTCCTGTCTCTGTGCGATCTACCTGAGGACAGTCTGTCGTTGGGGTAGTAGGTGAGGAGGCGGCTGACGAGGTCGGTGGCCGCCGGGAAACGCTGCACCACGGCATCCTCGAACTTGACACCCTGACACACGCGCGGGCAGACGAATCCGTTGTGTGTGTATAGGGCGTCCCTCTCGTACTCATTCATTCTTACCTGTCTGAGGACCCTTCGCACTTCCCGGTTGCTTTTGCAGTTGGACACGTCAAAGGGGAAATGGCCGTCGATCAACACATAGCTGAATGAGATGAGCACACACACAGAGAGGGGGGCGAGATATGGATGGTCTGATTGGATCGGTATCTCGATGTCTCTCGCAGTTTACTTACAGGATGACGCCGCATCCCCAGAGGTCTGACGCCTGGGTGTACTGACCCTTGTAACACTCAGGCGCCTGCACACACACACACAGCCAGCCACAGACAGACATCTTCCCCACTGTCTGCCCGTTGCTGCTGTCTTGCCTTCCTTGTTGGTTGCGTACCATGTACTCTCTTGTGCCGACTACAGAGATCTCTCCCTCCTTCTCGACGGTCTTGGGGGAGTCGGCTCGGTCGATGAACATGCACATATCGAAGTCCAGGAGCACCACCTGGCCTCCATTCCGAGGCCGGTCCTGGAATATCACATTGTCAAGCTTGATATCACGATGCAGAAGCTGACAGATCAACGCACACATCCACAAATCACACATACGGAGAGATGGAGGAGTGAGCTCGGTGGGGGGAGGGAGACACGTGCAGGTGGGCCACCCATCCCTCCCTTCATTGCCCCACCCACTTACCCTATGCTCATGCAGGTGTCGGACAGCAGCGAGTATGTTCTTCATGATCCGCTTGCAGTCCGCTTCCGGGATGCCGCCCGGCTCGAACGACAGCACAAACTCGACCAGGTCGGGCCCCTTGCACTTCTCCATGACAATGTAGAAGTGCTCGGGGTCCTCCAACACCTCACGGATCTTGACCAGGTTGGGGTGGCCGCGCCGAACTATGAAGTCGTAGATGTCGCGGAAGTACGACTCGTTCGCAACCAACCTGGATGGACAGAATGAGAGACGCAATCAGAGAGAGCGTATGTGTCCAGGGAGATGGATGTTGCACGGGTGTGTGTGTGTGTGTTGGTGGCGTGTACTTCTGCCGTGTCTTGTGGATGCACTTGATGGCGTGCTGCTGGTTGGTCCGCCGGCACACGGCGTCAAACACCACCGCAGTGCTGCACCATACCAAACAGCACACACACACCACACATCATCGGTGTCTCGCCCCCTGCTGTGCTGGGCTGTGCTGTGCTGTGCACTATGTGCTCATTAGCTTACTATCCGCTGCCGAGTTTCTCGTTCATCTGGTAGATGTCGTTGATGTCGGCAACCGACTGGATCAGGGTCGGCTCCCTGCGATATGGCTGAGGCACCAGCCCCCCGGCCTGACCCCCATTGGTCATGCTGCTAGCAGTGCTCGTCGGCGAGTCGCCTGCGCTTCCTGGCGAGGGGGAGGGCGGGGGAGGGGGGTAGCGCGGCACTGGCGGCACGCTGAACGGATGGGACATGTGCGGGGGGACGGTGGTGGGGATGCCAGAGGGGTGGGCGAAGGACTGTGGCTCAGACGGTTGGAAGGAGGACGACGGCTGCTGTTGGTGCTGTTGGTGGGAGGGAGCCGGGTGTGAGCTGGATCTTGGGGTGCTGGTCTGCATGGGCGCAGGTCCGTTTGGCGCGAAGGGTCCGCCCTGGGCTCCGCCTGCCGCTAAAGTGAGTGGAGAGGGAGACGGTGGGCTGCGGGACATGTTGGTGTTGTGCGAGTTATTGTGGCTGGGTCCTGAGCTGCTCCCTGATCCACTCGAGGCTCCTCCACTACCATGCGGGACGGCTGCCTGACTTGGGCCGACCTGACGCGATGACGGGGCGGATGTGGCCATGCAGCGGCAATCAACCGATCAAGCAACTTCCAATCACCTGAGGGAAGGCACCGGAGAACACAACAGACAGACAGACAGACAGACAGCCACAGACACAGACACACACCCGCAGCATGCAAGAGAAGAAGGAGTGAGACCGCTAAGCGCTGCGCTCTCCCTCACCAAATTGTGTCTATTACATCCATATGGTTACCAGCGATATCTCAGTGTGTATCCGAGCTCAGTCAGAAGGTGCCGATGATCCGATACCGTCCGCAGCGGCCAGATGGCAGTCTGCACTGGCCGAGAGGCAGAACCGAAGCAAGGTGACGGCAAAACTCCAAATCCTCAGCTCCTTGGCCCTCGAGGGTTATTCAGCAGCAGCGAAGGGACGAGCAGACACGCCGGTTGGTCCTCAGAGCGGAATGCGTGTGTTGACAGCTGATCCGGCAGACGAGACGAGAGTACACAGACGATCAGATTTTATTTGCATGCCAGGGGCGCCGGCCCGCGCTGCCTCGCCGAGGTCTTTCAGAAGCAGCGGAGCATAAGACGGAGGGCTGGAAGGGATGAGCCCCCAGTGAGCTGCCCTCCTTTCTTGTCGTCTTCAGCTCATCGGATCAGATGCACACGGCCGGCATGCCCCTTCTTTGTCTGCGTATCTGCTGTCGTTTCAGCGCGCATCCGAGGCCCCACGAAGGAATGGGGGCAGACGGCCCGCGCTTTTCCTCCGGGACTTCCGCGGCGTGGTGGACGCCGGTCCTGCTGCCGTGGTATCCAATCAGAGATCGAATCATCCAATCATGTATCCAAAGACCGACAAGGCACGGAGTCCGACTCATCGAGGTCATCCCGGCCCTGGCGTCGCTGATGAGAATCTTGGCACATATCTCCCGCCACGAATGGTAAGAGGCATAGGAACAAGGCGAGCGTCCCGCATGATCGCGTTGCTCTCTCTCCTTTGTCTTTGAATCAAGGTGTTGGGGGATGAGCTGATGGATGAGATCCTCCAAGAGGACTGCCCGCACCTCGCGCAGCTGGACAGCCAAAGCCTGAGGGACTACCAGCACCGCACCATAGCGCCACATTCAATGGCGGAGCACAAGCAAACCATGGCGCACGGCGAGACACGACACCCGCAGACATCTTCAGCAGCTGAGGCCGCTCTCGCCTATCCTCGCAAAGGCGGTGCATTTGATGACATCAAGGTGACAACTGTTGCCACTGAGGGTGGTCTGAAGACATGCACTGACCACGAGGATGTCGGCTCAGGGTATCCGTACCGCGAGCCGCTGCACACGAGCACACAGCGAGGCAGAGCCAAAGGGACCAACCCGCCCGACCGGCCCGGCTCACTCTGGGGATTCTTCTCTGCACCCAGGAAGGACGAGAAGATGACGGACATCAGGCGGGGAGCGAAGACTGAAGATACGAAAGACACGAAGAAACCCGACAGGGCGATGAAAGAGCCCCAGGCGGCCACGAAGGAGGTGCATGCGAAGAAGCTGCAGACAGAGAGGAGCATGAAAGCCAAAGAGTCGTCAAAGAAGTCCATTGGCGCTGAGAAGAAGGCGCGTCCGGTGGAGATGGAGCAGGTGTTGGAGCAGGTGCTGATGAATGTTTGGGTGGACGCCGATGAGGATGTCGAGCGATTTCTTCTCGACGCCCAGGCACTGGGGGCAACAGGCCAGCGAGTGCGAGACACCGAGTGCTATCACTGGACGACTGGTTCGGATTGGGCCAAAGGAAGGGAGACGGTGGAGAAAAAGAGCACCCAGCTGAGACACATGGAAAGGGACTTGCAGACATCAGGCGGAGCAAGCGAAGTGGTGGGCAATGCATGCGCGACGCTCCTTACTACTCATTGTGCTTCTCTATTGATTACTTGCCTGTATGTCTCTCTCTGTCTGCCTGCAGCAAGGCGGCAGTGGTGTGTTTCGTCGCAAGATCCCCACAGCCAACCCAGCCGTCCTCACCTACGCCACCACCTACCCTCCCCCACACGCCCTTCCCCCGGTGCGCGTCCCATGGGCGCATGAGCCTCTCGACGAGCGCGATGTGATGCACCTGCCGCGCTTCACGGCTGCCCAGGAGCTACACACCCGGCAGCTGACGTCTTCGGTTACCCACAGCCCCACCCA